TTTATGTACTCACTCTTCACCACAGAGGAGATGTCACTGAAAAAGATGGGTATGTGTTTTTAACACACAAACACCTTGTAGTAAAATGAAATTAATTTTTCACTTCTTTGTTAATGCCTTTCTATATAATCTGTCCCTGCTTTCTGTAGCTATGTTCCTTCCTGTGTTCTCTACATCTCTTGGATGCCCATCTTCACTGCCACTATAACTGTCTGTCCACCTGTCTGCCCATGGTACACAATCAACACCCAGTCCTACTACTCAAATTTCCTGATCTGCTCTTTCAGTCTTATCTTTGATTGCTTAGTAGGGCGTTTCTTTTGTTCTGTCTGAAAGGAGATCATGAGTCACATATCTAAGCATTCTTAAACTGTCTTTTACATTAAGTGTATCATTACTTGAACTAAACCATGTCCTCCTCCTGTACCAATTAATCTGATGCAGGTCAAGAGCTGAAGTGGGATCTTCCCGCAAGGGTCCAGATACTCCATTGTCCACTACCCTTGCACCAGGTGAGTGGAGGCTCTTATCAAATGATCACGTGGGATCAACTTTCACTGTTAAGTAGTAGTGTGAATAGTTTTGCTTATCTGATTTCATTCTGTTTCCTCAAAACTCCTGCAGCTTGCTGTTCAACCACAGCCATAAACAACCAATCAGCTGCTGTTTCAACAATGAGTAACAACCAATCCACACCAGGTATCAAAGTCTCTGGTAATGTGAAAAAAGTCTTGTTTCTGAATGTCCATACACATTTATTATTTCTCCCTCTCTAGCTTTTAGCAGCCTAGTTCCTACACCCGGCCTGATTAACAAGAAGGCCAAGTCCAGACTAATGGACAAAGATCACAACAGAAACCGTCTGAGTCACACATCAGCACCCATTTATTTTGCCAAGTCCAAAAGGCCGAGCCCTGAAGAGACGGATGGAGCGGGAGCCATCAACCGTCTTCCTGGTGGGCAGCATCCACTGCCACGCAGACAACGTAGCCTGCACACAAAGGGTAAAAATCACAGCCCAGCCAGAGCACTTTCTTGACACGCATAATATGCAGTATGCAAACACAGTAAAGCCTTTTGTTTGACGATGGCAAACAAAAATTGTCTGCATGCTGTACAAAGGAATGCTATTAGTTTAGCGTCTAATGCTATTTTATTCCCTCTTTTTTTCAGGAGTGAAATCGTCTCCCTCTCTCAGTAGCTTATATATCATGGAGACAAACCAAGAAATCAAACTGCAAAACTGTGCAACAGCCAAAAGCTGCAGGTAAACACACAAAGGTTACTCTAATGTAGAGTTATGTGTACATTTTCACTATGAAAAACAAGTAAACACTAAAAAGAAAGAAACAAGAACAGTTTTATTGTGCCTTGGATGTTTTTGAACCCTATTGTAGGGATTTATTTTTATTTTTTTTGCTAACATGGCTGGAGTTGGGAATATGGTCACTATCAGTCCAGTATCGCTTCATCATCTGGAGTGTTACGTTATCAGTGCATTACAACTTTGCATTATTAATGTTGCATGTTAATGCACCTTTTCTCTGTCTCATCTCTAGCTACACGGTATCACTTCATGGAAAAATAAATTCCTCCATGTCACAAATCACGTTACACATGACGTGAGTACGCAAACGCCATCTGCAATAACAATAGCAAAGTTTTGATTTATAAACAAATGAATTCATAGTAATGTTTTACGTTTCCTAGAAAGACTTGTGGGGTTTGGTACTAACTACAAACTAATGGATGGAACTACTGTAGCTGCTTTCTCATGAAATAATTTCTCATATATTAAGCTTCAAATTGCACATTTACATTTTCAACGTTCAACATGCGAGATATTGTTGGGAGATTATCAGGAAATAAAAGACCAAGATAAAATAAAGCTTTACCAACACAGGTCTACAAACAGCTTGTGGGTACGACAATGTGGAGCCACGAAGGGACGTTTATGCCCCAACCACACAGAAACACAGCTCTATAATGAACAGAGTACATCAACAAAGGTACTTAATGGCATTTATATATTCCTCATCTCTCATATAATGAAAATATTTTTCATTGTTTTGTCAGTTGATGCTGCCCTAATTATATAATACTGATATTATACAAAATATTTCCTACATTACTGTAATTTTCTCATTTTTTGAATGAGATATTCCTATGTTCTTTCTGCTTCTCTCTAAGGGGACTCATCACTTGTGGTCGGTGCCTGTGCTGCCTTACCAGGACATCACCTATCACTTTCGTGTCTCCCTGTCTGTGAGTAACCTGGTCCTCCAAAACATACAGTCATCGTGGATGCTCTTCTGCGTTCTGTAATCTGTTCATGGTTGTTTTGGTAAAGTCAGAAGTGAGTAATAAATTCTGTTTTTCTTACACTCTTTTTTGTTAACAGAGTGACAGAGTGAGCTGTGACACTGAAGGAAAATCTACACCGTACTCTGACTACCATTTTCTCATAGAAAGCAGCTGCGTGTGAGGAAGCAGATGATGCATCCCAGTCCCTTTACAGTATACCATATTTCTCCATTTGTATGCGGTTATGATGGGATCAAGTTTTGTCTAATTATTGTACATTATTTTAAAGATATTCAAACAGAGCAAATGATTTACTGTACCACCACTGTAGTCCCTTTCATATGTATATGCATTAAGACATCTCCTTTTGCTGTGATCACTGGAGTTTGAAACACTGTATATGACTTTTTTTTCTGTTGATGACTGAAACTGAAAACTGTGTCGTACCACTGTTAACTGCTAATGTAAAAGTAACGCACTTAGTTCATAGCTCAACAATTTTTATTTTTTAAATTTGTTACTCGTCACTATGTCTTCCATTCCTAATATAAGCCGTAACATTGTTTTTAGCAGAATTTTCTAAATCAAGTCCAGGCTACGATGTTACAACAGAAGGCACTGCAAACATACACTATGGATCTGTATGTACAACAAAACCAGTCACAACTGGTTTGGAAGAATACTTTTCAATACTTTTATACACTGGAGAGGAGATCACTGGCTTCTGCTGAAGGCCACGGTAAATGGTTGCAGCTAGCACTGAAAAGATACCTCAGTAGTGCACAGTGTCTGCAGTGGGGCTTTGTGCTGAGTCTGCAGCAGTTAACTGTACTGCCTATCCTAATGCAGCCCCTGACTAAAAGCCGTGCACAGAGGTGTGCACACTCTGTGGCATTTCTGTCTCAATCGTGACACTGAATTAAACACCAAGTTGTTACATGTTAATGCCTATTACTACATAGAAACTGCTTCTTAAATGCATTAAAAACACCTCAAAACCTCTGAGCTGTGCACATTGTAGCAGATTCCTTAGAGGATTTAATATGTTAAGACTGGAAAGCATAGAAATCACAGGAAAATAACATGATGCACTGAGAGCTCGCTGAGTCCAGCACTGACAATATTTCAAGAAACACTGGAATAGCTTACACTGTATCTTGCTAACTGGACAATGCTGGTAAGGCAATAAATATGAATATGAAATATGTCATTTCATGTGCATGCCCAATCAATTTCTCTAAAACGGTACATTGTAGCTGAGATGCTGCTCCAGCTTGGAAGTTCTTGTCTTAATGCCTTGATCACAAACCTACGAGGAAATTCATTTACACACATGTAAAACTGGATTCTATACACTGGACTCTTTCCTCTGTTTTTCTGGATGTTTTTTAAAACAATTTTTCCTTTGCTTATACAGCTAAGTATATGCAGTGATAATATGTTTGATATAACTGATTTGTATTATGTTTTTGTTTTGTATTAGCTTCACTTGTCTCAAAGGAAATCTCCATTTAACTTCAGACGTTGTGGTTTTGTTGCATTTACTGAAATTTGCTTTTCAATCCTTGTCCCGTATGTGTCTTTATGAAGAAAAAAAAACACATTTATATTAAATAGGAAAAGCCATCAGATAAAGTTTATGGACTCTGTAATAATATGAAAATTCTGTACATGCTTTCACTATAATTATTATGACTTCAGTATATGGTACTATTTTAGCTTATTTATAATTCACCAGCTAGCATAATGAAACCACTGTAGCACTTTTTGCACTGTATATATATATATATATACGAAAAAGGCTTTTGCTGTATCCAGTGCACCAGACTGGTGTCAGACACTTTGGTAGAACTGGGTTGTTTGTAACTGTATAGCTTCATTTTTTTGTCACTACCAATGCTCCTTTTTATCGGGTGTGTTTTTAGCATATTGTTGGGTTTTTTTTGTTTATTTGTTTGTTTGTTTGTAGTTGATTTTGATATCAATAATATATTAACTTTCAGCTACTGGAGCCAAGGAATGATTGATAAACATTAAAACATGCATATATTAAAAGGCCCATGTGTAAAGCAAAAAAAAAACGCAAAAGACTAAAGCTCAGTGACTACATTAATATCACTACTTTTCATTTTCAAAGCTTTTGTCAATAAATATGCTGTAACACTATAAATGCATGCAGTAAATAAACTTACTATTACATTTCCTGAGGTTTTATTTCATTTTATGCTGTTTAGTCTACCTGCTCTATAAGACCACTATGGATGTGTATGGAATCATTTTAGTTATTATCTCATTATTTTCACTTACTAAGTATCTTGAAAATTCCCCTCACTTCTAAGTGACTGTGAAATTTCGAGCTACTAACCCGAGATAAATCAGAAAGAAACAAACAGTGAGCTAAAAAAAAAAAAAATAGCTGTTCATTCAGCCCGTTAGATGGCAGTCGACGGTTTATGAACAGTCTTTACCACAACAATTAACCCTGAAATTTGCCTGGTAGGTAGCAGGTAGGTAGCTGGCAATCAACACAGCAAAATCCAGCAAATGATTAGCATAGCGGAATATGACAGTTTCGGCACATGTAGAGTGGACATGTAGACCTGAAAATCGACAGTCCAGGAGAAAGACACACTCAAAGAAATAAGCGCCTGAAAGGCTCAAATGAGCAGGGAGAATGTCCCCTTCCTTAAACGTCATCTGTGCGTCAGGATACCAGGAAGTGTTAGTCAGTACGTGGCCTTTTCATCTGTGCAGCAGCAGGAGCTCCGCTTCATTACAAAATGGTAGCAACTGTAGCTTTTATATTATTTAATTTACTTTGACTCTTAAATATAGACGTTTTATCTTTGAATGTGATTCTGCAATGAACCAGTAAAAAATGAGTTTTATATGAAACCTTGTTATCAGTGAAAATCATTGACGTTAGCCGATGTGTTAGCTAAATGAGATACTAGCTCATTTGCAGCACTCCTTTGAAGATTCTCTGTATTATGGCTGGAGTGTGAATTAGAGCAACAACTTTTTTTTTAACCCTTGTGCCGGCTTGTTTCTGTTTTGTTTTGTTTTTCTTCTGTGGCTGTAGGAACTCGAGGCCATGACCAGATACACCAGCCCGGTGAACCCGGCTGTGTTCCCCCACCTCACTGTGGTGCTGCTGGCTATCGGCATGTTCTTCACCGCCTGGTTCTTCGTGTATCCTTTTTAATTTTTGAATGTTGCAGTCGATTTACTGTAAGTTAACTTGCATCAGAGCTGGCCAAAGTCGTCACTAAGTGCAGTAATTAAAGAAAACAAAACTTCATACTGGAACTTGTTTTCATAGTCGATGCCATTGGACAGTAAACCCCAATAATCAGATGATTGCCTGTGAGCCAGTACTTGGAGACACTGGGGTGGAAGAACCCATTTTTTTACAGGAAGAAACGTTAGCAGAACTAGGTTTAGGGAGGGACAGCTGTCGACTGCCTGAGGGGAAGGAAGACAAAAGAGGAGAGCATAGAGGACAGACTTTGGGAAAGATGAATGTTATCAACACAGAGTAGTGGGGTAGAAACAGCTCAGTATTCTGAGCCTATATCAGCGTAAATAATGAGCAGTTACACAGTCAAACAATCTAGCAAAACTACCAGCTTTATGAAAAGAAAGCTGCAAGCCTGATTTTTATTTTTATTTATTTATTTTTTAAATAAAGAGGTTGTCTCCCAAACTGGGGTAGGGAATATGTCTAAAATTAAGTATTGCAGGATGTGAATCAAGCCATGTTATGCAAGGACGATTAACATGTTATTGTGCGTCTCATGGCATTACCCATTTGTTTGTTTTGCAAGTTGATTTCATTTCATTAGTCTGTTTAGATTTCTTTATCAGATGATATAGAGATTATGTAAATGACTGAGGCTCCGGTGAGTGGAATTAGATAATTAATGTATGCCAACCACCCTGTGCACCACACCACAGGTAGCAGAACAATGTCCAATATCTGTTTTTAGCTCCACTCACACAACAGATGGATACAGAAACTAAACACTCAGACCACACCCTGTTTATATGTTCACTTTTTAAGCATTTTACGCCATAAGAATATTTTTATTTATTCAGCTATTTTTTGAAAAATACTGTATAAATCAAACTTTAATGTTGACTTTATGAGTTAAGGATTTTTGCAATAAGTGGTTGTTAAAGAAGTAGTTTTTGATGTTAGAAAAACTGCTAGTTCATGCCAATTAAGCAGCAATCTGTTTATTTTAAAAATCTTAACTTTAGATTGAGCTGTCACAATTTTTTTTTTTAAATAATGAAGGCAGTACATCATGTATAATAAACCGGTTGCATAACTATATTCAGCAGTGCTGCATAAGTGATTAGGCTTAAAATAGAACAAAGACTCTAATCTTTGAGTTGGCCTTAGCTTTTCATCAGCTATGAGGTGACATCAACAAAATACACACGGGACGTCTACAAAGAGCTGCTGATCTCCCTCGTGGCATCACTTTTCATGGGGTTTGGTGTGCTGTTCCTACTACTCTGGGTTGGGATATATGTATGAAGGTACATTCAAACTCTGTCCTTATTTTTTTTTAAATGCAGTAGTTTTAATTTAGAGTTGCTGAAACCATCAACACTCATTGTTTTCTGCCGTTTCAGGTGACTGACTTTAAAAAAAGAAAAAGAAATGAAAGACACATTCCAGTGTAACAAAGGACATCACACACAACATGAACTGGACTTTGGATTAATTGGACTGCACTGACAATATTTTGGGATCACATGGACTCTGGATTTTGTTTCACAAGTAAAGGGGATTTGTACAACCTTTGGTGTGTTTCTTTGTTCATCCTGACAGCTTCAGTGTTTACAATAATCAACACATCCCATAATGAAACAGATTTTACGGTTATATAAAGTGTTGATGTGTTGGGATCTGCCCAGACCTGAGGTGGAACGTAACCTGTCACTTCTTTAAGAAATCCAAGGTTATTTTGACACACACGGGGCTATTCGCGGTGTGTTTCAGTAGTGGCGCCTAAAACCCTCAATCCCTGATTAATCTTTGTGTTAAAAATAGAGCAGTCTGTTTCACCTTGTCTCCTGGATAATACTGAATACCCCCGAGATGAAGGATTACACTGGAATTAGAGATGGCTTATTTAATAAAAGCAGCGGAGACACAATTCAAAGATCTCCAAATAAAGAAAAGTGAGTTCACGTGAAAATTGAATTATTAAAATAACAATAGTGTAAACAGCACATACTAATCTTAAATAAGGCAAAAGAGACCACCTGATCTTTCACTGCAGGGGAAACCTGCTTTCCAACAAAACTATGAGCATATGCTCTTCTAAAAGCTACCCATTGAAACAGTTAAAAAAAAAAAAGAACTTGTTCTACGAGGCAAAATCTGCATTTACACCTGGTCATTTTCAAAACATTCTCTCAGTGTGTTGCAGTCTTGTCTGCAACCCAAACTGATTTACAAGGCCACATAGATTAACTGACTCATCCTTATTAATACGATACTCACAAGCCACACTTGGCTTACCTGCCACTGTAAACCATTTAACCCACAGCTTCTTGGCTACAAAGAGCCAGTAAACAAACAGCGGTTGACACTTTGCTTCATCCCTGTTATGAGTTATTAAGTTCCATTTGTGTGTAAAATATATATATATGTGTATATATTTATATAAACACACACACACACACACACGTCAGTGTTGCTTTGTTAGATATGGTTAATAGTGAAAGGATTTCCAAATATAAAAATGGGTTAAAAAAAATTTATCCAAAGGAAGGATTAGCTAGTGATGCCCAGTGATATGTTTTTCCACAGTTTCTTAAAAAGTGTCTCTGCTTCACTGACGAGCTCTGGCGAAGGCATCACGCAGCCACAGAGAGTCCTCGTACAGCCTCGGGTCTCCCATGTACTCTGCTGTACGTTTGTATAAGTAGTAATAAAACACAGCCGCTGTTAACAGAAAGAAGCACAGTTAGTCAGTGACAACAGAATAGCTGGGGTGGGAGATGTATCTCTGAAATTAATTCGCCAATTACCTGTTCTCTGAAAAACAAAAAGTGCTTGGAGACCATCTGTCCAAACAAAACTGTTTGAATTAAGCCATCTTAGGTTCTGGCAAAAAGGAAAACAAAAGAAAAGTCTCAGAAGATGGATCTTCATATATGACTTCTAATTTGCAAACAACAGTTTGAAAGCATACCAGCACCAAGCAGTGGAAGCAGATGCTAAGGGTCAGGTAAAGAGTAGAGAATACCAGCAGGGCCCTGAACCTCTCCAGAAGCAGCGACACCAGGCCGACCTGGAACACGTACGTGTTGAACATCATCAGGAGGATGATGATCACGTTGAACAAGATGGCAATGTCCTGGATGCTGCAAACACAGTTTTTTAATAGTTAATTTTTTTAAGTACGGCTTTCTTTTTTATTGATATCATACCGACAAAAACTAGATTGCATGTCAGACATTAAAGTGAGACGCTGTCCGTGTAACAGCCAAGAATTCTTCTAATGAGTGCAAAATGTTTGATGTCAGGAAAACTGGCTATGTAACAGAAACCAACCACTTAATAAATGACACATAAATGGTACAAAGAGTAACCTTTCAGGAATAAAAGTATTATTTTATTATTATTAATAGATTTTTTAGTATTAAATCAGCATAAGTCTGGGCTTTAAGTCGTCTATGGCATTAGATGAGAAGAATTAGATGATTAATAAACAAGGGCTTAACTTGCATCTGAAAACGTTAAATATTTAATGTAACCATCACATTTTAGTACTTATTAACCTATTAAATTTAGCAGTAACATTCATCATAATGCACTAAAAACAAGAAAAGCAAGTGACATAAACACAAAAAAATGCACATTGTTAGAACATCGATCAAATTCTAGAGATCTCAATTCATATAATGAAAGATGACATCAAATATCTCTAACTGTATGTAGTAAAAAAAAAAATTGAGAAATTGTGCATGTGTTTGTTAATCGGTTATAAAATAATTCAATCTCATCAGCACAGAGCTCTGTGACTCACATGAAAAGCACAAGTTGGATGACAGCTGCTCCTCTCAGAAGTTCACTGAAAGAGTTGACAAAGAGGTCATAGGCCAACAGTGTCAGCTGGATCAGCAGCACCAGTGAGAAGTTGCCGGTCTGAAGCATCTTCAAGGGCTGGTGGTGCAACCCCACAGCTCCACGGTGTATTCTCTTCAAAGTCTCCTTTTTTCTTGGTATTTGGTGGTGAAACCGACGTCTTTGGTCAACTCTACCCTCCTACATACTTCAGCAATAAACGACTTATCTGGAGCAAGACATTAATGAGCCACAATAATCCATTTGCAGTAAGCACTGGTCGCTTTTACGTTAAATTGTACATATTATATTCTCCAATCCGGTTTGCTCCGCTGTCACTGAACATGTTAGTTGTCCTAGATGAAAAAAATATTTCTGCGATGAGTGCTGCCTGTCCAAGATATCTGATGAAATGTATTCAATCCTGCCAAAAGCAGCATGCTGACATCTCAGATGTGGGAAATCTCCAGATATGCTGCACTACCTGAGAGGAAGAAGAGAAGCAACTGAAACAACAAAGACATTTTCAAAGCGATGAAAATGCCCACCTCGTCCAACTCATATCTTAGCCCGCTAGCCATCTCCACTGTGAACGAGGGGTTGATGAAATTTCTGTCTCAGTCGAGCCAAATAAGCATTGAACCTAATCACGTAAGGTCAACGTGCTCGTGTTGTTACACAGGCGGGCATGGAAAGGTCACTACTAGGATTATAGATCTGACCCAAGTAAACTTACTCAGACTGAAACACCTCTTGTTTTGTCGCTGTTTTCGAAGTACTCGTTCTTGTTTTCTTTTCATCTATCTAATCTACATCTTACGGTTGCCCTTTTAGTCCAGTCTGGAGTTAATCCAAAAGACGGATAATAGAGGAACTATAGGCTTATCTTTTCCACAACAAATCACCCGTCTGGCGATGAACTCCCCCCAGACACGTTTGCTACGCTAACACAACATTGCTGCTCATTGTTACGCAAGCAGGCTTCACAAACATAATTTAACTGACATATACTTACGAGACAAAAATGATGAAACCAAGTCTGCGTGAGGCAGAAAGCACTAATAAATCACAAAAACCTCTCTTTTTATTCGCAAACGCCGCTATTCAAGCATCTACTTCTGATTTTCGGCATTAGCAGATGTATTTCCGCTAATTCCATGGTAACGCTTCTTGTTACCGTAATAACGGTAGTACGTTTTTTTCCGAGAGTTAAGCAAAAATACAAAATTCCCAAATTAATTAATTTTCACTAATTTGGCAGGGCATTAATGTGTATCGTGGAAACTTGGATGGTTGCTTTCTAAAAACTGAACGAATAAGCGTAACAACTTAGTAGAAATTTCCGAGTGTCTCAAATCCGCCGTGCTGCGGCATATATTACGGTAATCTCCCTGTCAGGCGAGGTCGTCACTGCCACCCAGCGGCGTGAGTAAGTCTTTGAATGCCTCCGAGGTGATCAAAGGTAATGACTGGAGACCTGAGTTCAGCACACCGCAGGTAAGTTGTGAAAGTTTCTTCAACTTCCTAGAGTTGTCAAACAGCGCAGTAAAGCGAGTCATTTAGAAATGCTATTCGTCGCGCTGATCGCCACCTTCTCTGTGTTGTGTCAAGTTGACAACCTGTTGTTTTGTAGTGCAGGTTCTCTCCCCCGTTAATAATAAATGTACACGTCTCCTTTCGCTGGTTTTAGTTTCCCGTGCTTGACACTTTGCTCTAAAACGGGGCATATTTACTCACTTTAATTAATTGTGAGTGATCTTGCTAAATTACAGCCATCAACGCTGAACTGCATTTTACAAACTGTCGCATTTAATGAAGAGGAACTCAGCACATGTTCAACATATGTTCTAAATACATTCACACAGTCAGACAGGATGTGATCTAATGCTTGACTCTTAAGTTTGCCTCAGTTATTTTTGTACCCTACAGCATGTTGTCTCACTCCCCGGGGCTGCCTACATTTGCACCAAACTTAGAGCTTACTAGGAAGTGTTTTTAAGTGCTTAAAAGTTTTGATATGACCTTTGGCTTATTGGGAATCTGAGGTGTCATACAAAATCCTCAGCCTACAGTGTTTACACAGGTCTCTTATCTGAAATTGCAGTATATCCCTTATTACACCCAAGTTTTGAAGGCTTCATAGATAATCAGTACGATAATTTACTGCGATAATCAGTGTTTTGGATTTTATGCCTTCATAGATAGCACGCCATGGAAAGGAAGGCAATATTTTATCAACCACTGAGGCAGACCTTTTTTTAATTCAATGTAGCGTAAGGATGTCCAGAAAGAAAGTAGTTCTTACTTCTGGATCAGTTTAGTAGTATGTTTAGTTGTGTTTACACTGAAATGGCTATCCTGAGTAATAGCAATGTCATCTTACTTGAAGAATGATCATGTGTGACGCTGGTAACCCTTATAAATCACTGTTTTATATGAACAGTCATGTTGTCATGGAGGCTGTTTTTCCCCCAACAATTCCTGCAAGTAAAATTTGTTTGCAATTGTGGTTGTTCTGACAATGCAAACAACTGCAAATGTTTAATTTGCATCTCCTCTCCCGTAGCTATCCTCCCTCCCATTCGAGGACACTAATTCTTTTCACATGACACCATCCTGTTTTTTTACCTTCCACGCATCCTGGTGCTCATTCATAGGTTAGATTTTTTTAATCTATATAAACAGTGAGGACAACTGGCTCATCTGAATGAGGAGTTCTTGTCAAGCCTTTCAGGGGATTTAAAATTATCTATGAAAATGTTTATAGAACAAAATGTGTTCTATGAAAACCATTTTCTTTATCAAAGTTTGTCGCACTGCATTCCTAAAAAATGTCCTAAAATGTAGCATAGACACGACTGATCAGACAGCCGGTCACAGGAGCTCACATGATGTGTAGAGTCAATAGCTAGTTTTTTCTGCACCTCTTGTTTGACAAGGGAGGGTCAAGGTCCTGTTTCTTGCACTATCTTGCAATACTAAAAAGTAGACCCAAAAATGTAAGCAAATGTAATTCTAAAACTGTGCCGGACAAGCAGCGTTATTCCTGGATGAATAAATTTAGCATAGCTGAAATATTATTACGATCGTGTGTTCTCTATCATGTGATATACTAGAAGATAAGCATGTTTACATAGCCTGTACTTAATGATAGACACATTCAAACCCACACCCATCTGTCTCTGTGCAGCAATGTCTAAGTGGCTGTACGATGATGAGGTGCTGGTGGGTGAAGGCAGTGGCGAGGCAGTGCAACTGAGCCCCAGAGCGCGGACTCTGCCTCCTGGGAGCCCCAGATCAGGCCACGGGCGTAGTCCGCTAGCTTCACCCCGCAGCAGGGAGCCAGTTCCACTGAGCCCGCTGGCAAAGACCATGAGCAAGGCCAAACAGCTGTTTCTGCTCTGTGACAAAGAGGGAAAAGGGTTTATCACAAAGCAGGACATGCAGGTGAGCAGCTAATGTGGTAGAGGAGCAACGTTTAGACTGACTGCAGAGTCTTGAACTTTGTCATCTCCTCTACTTGCTCAGTTTTCTATGCATTAATGTTTTGTATTTTCATGATCCTCCTTTTCTTCTTGTGTTCTCTTTCTTACTTTTTAACTTTATTTTAACTTATTCTCAGCTTTCACGACCTTGTCCTTCTGATTATTTTTGACTGTTTCTCACAGCACTTTCGAAAGTCTGATTATCAAATTGATATTTGATTAAAGTTTTTCTTGTTATTACTAATATTATTGTGCTTTTAGAGGTTACAGTGGGAGTTGCCACTGACCCCTGAACAGCTAGAAACAGTCTTTGACAGTCTGGACAGAGAGGGCAATGGTTACCTCACTCCTGTGGAGTTCAACACTGGGCTCGGTGAGCACGCTGCACTCAGTCATTTTAGAACAGTTTTAAAAGCGGATGATTAAATAAGCACATTATGTTATTCCTCGGTTCTATTTTCTGTGGTGTAGGTGAGCAGGTGGAGCTGGAGGAGGTGACAGACCTGGATCATGATGAAGCAGAAGAAGAACTGGACGAGGCGGACTTTTCTCAGGACCCCAGTGCTGTTAGATTTGTAAACATACTAATGGAACTTGGCACTGACAAACTTTTCAAAGAGTGAGTACTCTGCCCTAAAATCTTTACCATTAGCTTCCCTTTAAACTGTCCACCAAGATTTCTCCATTCAGTTTCACTGCAGCAGCTGTGTACAGTAACGTCACCTTCATCCTCAAATGTTAGCATATACACTATGTTCATACTGTTCTCATAAAATGGTTTAAATGCATCATCTGCTGCGATTGAGTTTTATTTTTGACTGAAAAATTGACACCAGGCGTGGTCTTCTGCTACTTCAAGGTTTAATGTAATGTGCATTAGGAGATGGTAATGTTTCAAAGGACTGTTTATTTAAAGGAATCTTCAAGGACTTCTTCAATATGTAAATGTATTTATGCAGTTCAGCATTTAAACTCAGCACCTTCTCTTTTCATGTAAACAAGGGATGTTGTGCAGTCACAGTTAGTTTTGTTTTTCGGTCACATTAACAGTTGTGTATTGTGCTGTGTGTCAGTCAGCAGGAGCTGTGTACTCTGTGGTGTGAGCTCCAGAGAGACCGACCAGAGATGCTGAGCGTCCTAGAGGGCATCTTGGTCCATGCAGTGTCCCATTTACAAGACACCATGAAAGAGAGAGACAGTCTGGAACAAGCCTTACGCAGGTCGCACCTTCCTTCCAGTACATTCATTTTAAGTAGTTTAACTGTGAGTGTTTGGATTATGCTGAGATTTTGTGTTGTTGTTTTTTTCTGCATTAGACGGGAGAGCGAACATGATCAGGTTGTTCGGTCTATATATGAGGAAATGGAAAGTCAAATCAGAGAGGAGAGAGAGAAGCTCCTTGCTCAGGTATAGATATGTGGTAGTTGCACTGTTGTTCCTTTTAGCAGGTGTACCTCAAATTAGCATTTAATGAATTTATTGTGAAATCAAGGACAGTATTAAACAGAAGGAGAAAGGGAAAATACTTGAGGAGGAGCTGAGGATGCGGGAACAGGAGTTGGAGAATACACTGAAAAAACAGACGGAGGTAGGCATCCGAACTGTACTCATGCCATTATGAAGGGCGTTATATTTTAATGCGAACAGGATCTGTCTTTGTTCTCAGCTTGAGACCCGAATGCGCCAGCTGAGCCACGAGCAAGTAAACATCAAAGAGCAGAACCAGCAGCTTCAGGACCTCAACATGCAGTTACAGGAGCAGGTGGAGCGCAACAAAGAACAGTTGCAGGCTGCGTTGGCTCAGCTCAACTTGGCGCAGATCAGCAATGCGCAAGAACAACTGGCCAGACAGAGGTGATTAACCAAGGTCCAGATGATGCCTTAGCACCAGCTTTGAAGTCATTAAAAACATTGTCTGCATGTGGTATGGCTGAAACATTTTTTTTTTTAATTTTAATTTCATTTACTTTAATTTATTTGGTACCAATTCACAATGACAGACCCCATGCCCTGCATATTGTAAGGGAGATAATATTAGAAAGAAACCCTAACAATCACACAACCTTCTATAAGCAAGCACTTTGCAACAAAAGGAAGGAAAACTCACTTTTAACAGGAAGAAACCTCTGACTGAACCAGGCTCAGGTAGGGGCAGACATCTGAGTCAGTCAAGAGTTTGAGTGTGAAGAGAAGGATTATAAATTCTATTCTGAATTTAACAGGCGGGTGATGAAGAGAAGTTGATATGGGAGAAACATGTGCTCTTTGTTTCTAGTCCTGGTTTGTACTCTTGTTGCAGTGTTCTGGATCAACTGAAGGCTTATCGGGGAGTTTTTAACTACCTGATGACAGTGAATTAGAATACTCTAGCCTACAAGTAATAAATGTAGAAGCTATTTTTTTCAGAATCACTCTGAGACAGGAACGCTTCTGATTTTAGAGGCACTGTGCAAATGAATGAAAGCAGCAATTAAAGAAAACATTTGTTTAATGTGCTCGCTGAAGGACGTATTTTAGAGGATGATCTGATATCCTCGTGTTGGTGTTGTTCCCAGACCATCATGAAAATGTTGTTCCAGGTTCAACATTGCAAGTGACCAATCACATTGTTGTGACGTTATTCTTTTGCGCGCCAAGCCATTCGTGCATTTATGAAATTCCAATGTTGCAAGGACAATATCAATTCTGCTTACTGTTTATTAAAGGGTTACGGTTAGGGTTAGGGTCAGGGTCCATTGATCGGCGGACAGAGGCGGTTTCACGCAGCTTTAGTACAGTTTTTTGTTTTACGCCGGTTTTTCCCGAAGTCGCAAAAGTATGACGTCACAACATTCTGATTGGTCACTTGCAATGTTGATCCTGGAACAACATTTAGTATGATGATCTGGGAACAACACCAACACGAGGATATCAGATCAACCCATTTTAGATAGTAGTAGATTTTTATCATCTGGCTTCATGGATAAATAATGCTGGGTATCATCTTCATAACTATGAAAATGTATGCAGTGTTTTTTAACAATATTGTCTAAGGGAAGCATGCATAATATTAAAAACTATTGGTTCCCGCTCAGAGCCCTGTGGAGCTCCATGACTAACTTCCATGTTTTAAAAAGATTCCCCATTTTCATGATTATCTATGATTTAAACCAGTGCATCTCACATATATCTCTACCAGGTACCATATGTATTAAAGGCCCTTTAAGATGAGCAGTGTGTTCTAATCTCTAGTAAAATGTTGTGGTTAGCGGTATCAAATGCTGCAATGAGGTCTAACAGGACAAGGATAGAGATGAGTCTGCTGTCAGAGGCCACTGGAACATCATTTGTAACCTTCACTAGTGCTGTTTCTGTGCTATGGTGAGAAGGCTGAACTCTACTTGCAAATGATCAGTTGGCCATTTTACAACAACTCCTTCAAGATTTCTTTAAATAAAAGATTAGAAATAGGTCAGTAATTAGCTAAGACATCTGGATCAAGTAAAGATTTCAAATCTTTTGTTTGCTTCACTTAGAAACGTGATGAAGGTGTCAAGGAACATGAAGAAGGAGAAAGAGAGTCTTTTGAGACAACTGGAGATATTGAGGTAAGTCTAAAACTGTCTGCTGTTTCAGTTAATGCCAAGTTCACAGACTACAGGTATGTTTGAATAGTCCAAAAATCCCGCCACACTTACACTAGACTCCTTAACACCGCCATAAGATAAACTACAAAACTCATATCTTCATCTCACCTTGTTGTTTTATGCAGGTCATAGAAATGAGAACAGTCAGTGAAAAATATCACTTCATTGAATGAGACCTGTAGCAGAAAGCACATTGGCAATACAGCAATAGACACTGCTAATGTAAAGTGAAACCCACTCTATCAAATGTCAGTTTCCTTTCCTGTGCATTTAACAAGCTGTTTTTAAAAATTCAAAACATATCAGTAGGTTATGGCATGAAATGATTTTGGGACAGCGCCATCTTCTCTCCTTTAATAAGATTGGTCCGGTGTATCCTGTAATAAAGGAAGCATCAAAGCGCCTTTCCTTATTTTTTGGAGAGTTCAAACAGCTCCTACTGCGGATGCCGTGCAGATATTTCCTTTTCACATTTCTCAGTTAGGAAGCTTCCCAAGGAAAATGCACTATTCAAACTTACCCGTGGTCTTTTTTTTTTTTCTTTTCTTTTTTAAAATTTAATTCACCATTTGAGACACGGGTCTCACCGTGTGAGGATGTCTCTAAATAGATTTCTTTTGTGTGTGTGTGTGTGTGTGTGTGTGTGTGTGTCAGGGATATGAACAAAAGGCTGCGAGATGAGAAAGACGCCCAACAGTCTCAGAAGAGGGTTAGTCACAGACATGCTGTCCTTCCTCCTCTGCCCTTAACATATTACCTACCTAGTGAAGATGTTTGTATGCCGTGGACACAGCAGGTTGATCCACCCTAAGCTAAAACTTGGAATAGATTCATGTTTTACATCATCTGTTATTATTTATATGGGCAGCTGTTATTTTTTTGGTTATTAATTAATGTTGCTGACACAGCCTTTTGCAATGTTGTTTTTCTGTGGATGTGCTCAGTGAACTGAAGGATTTTGTTGACTAGACGTTTATTCTGTCCTGTGTCAACTTGAAGGAAAAGAAAATGTTCTATTTATATTTATGTTTATTGGTCACATTTCACTGTACAAATTCAGGTGAACTAAGTATTTTTTTTTCAATCTAATAAAACTTTTTCTCAGACTTTTCATGACTGATAATCTAATTTAGCAACTTTCAGCAGGTTCAGCTCATCCTTGTTGTTTCACAAAACAAACATGAAGCATTTTTGTATAAAATGTGCAAATAATCTCATGAGTATTTTTTTTTTTTTAAAAATCAACCTTGACGCAAAGACTGCCTCTTTCTTTATTTACCTATTGTATTTTTTTAAATCTACAAACACGAGTGCACAGTTAAAAATAAATGAATAATCATAGTTGGACTGCATTCCTGCATTTTAAATGTACACTGTAAATAGTTTACCAGTGGAAGCAAGTGGAATTACTACAGAGATCACACACTCATGAGTGCAGTCCTGTGATAAAATCAAGTACACCATAGACATAATTCAGTAGTTTGTAGAGTTCAGCACAATAACTTGAAGTAGTCGTTTTGAATGAAGCCAATATGTCCAAGTCTGTGGCTACAAAACACCCAAATCATAAACCCTCCACCACCACATGAGGCTTTTGTGCTGATATCCTGTGTTTGGTTTTCACCAGACATCGCACTGAGCGGTTCGGTTCAAAGCGCATTTACCTTGGATATGCACCATGCTACATCCATAAATCTTTAATACTTTATAAATCTGTGGACGAGTATGAAATCTTAATGCTACATATTTCTTCTGCCTCACTTTCTACAAAAACCTTGTAGACTCCAAATGTCACACAGGCTTTGCAGAAGAGAGGGTCAGTTATAGGTAACTACTTACTGGAGGACAAGCCAATGAAAAGGTTTGTATAAATAGTGCATCTGTTTGTCATTTTTGCAGTGATGTAGCTGATGGATATAGGCAGCCACTAATTTTGTGTATTTATTGATTCTGAAGACAGCCGTGCTCTGCTGATGAGTTGGAGCAGGACAAAAAGACAGAGGTGACAATATCATCCAAGAAACACCAACCGTCATGTAGAGTCAGGGGTGAAAATGTTGAACAGACCCAAACTCAGGTAGGGAAAATGTAAAATCTACAAATACACATAATATATCTGAGAAATAATTATTGAATAGCGCAGATGCAGCAACAAAACTGAGCAGTAATGATGGAAATTATGTTTTGAGGCTTTTGGTTTAGGGCTTAAACAACCACTGGTCACTCAAAAAAAAATAAAAATTTAACTTTTCAAATATTAGATTGATCAAAATGTCACCTTTGATTCTTTTATCTGAATTCTAGAGCAAAGCTGTCAGTACTCAGCAAGTGTTCAAGGTTGTGTTTCTGGGTAACTCGGGGGTGGGTAAGAGCTCCTTCATCCAGTATTATTGCACAGGGCGCTCCGACAGTAAAGTCAGCACTACCATTGGTAAGTCTTTTCACAGCGATCTACGTGCTCATCAGTGTATAGAAAACTGTGTGTATGTTGAAGTAAATGTTTGATATATGTATTGAAGTCGAGCATGAAGTCATAAGGCTTTGTTGTTCATAGGTATCGATTTTAAGATGAAGACTATAACTGTGGACTCCACCACCATCATCCTGCAGCTGTGGGACACTGCAGGGCAGGAGAGGTCAGACATGTTTACACAAGCACACAAAATCATCCGAGGTGCAGAATGTTTTACATCGAATCTGTTTTTTAGGTTTCGCAGCATCACCGAGCAGTACTACCGAAAGGCCGACGGCATCCTTGCCATGTATGATGTAACGCACTCCGCCTCCTTCACTGCAGTGAGAGGATGGATGGACTCCATCAGGGTGAGTAGGCGGCACTACCATGGTTTGATGTAAAAGCATGCAAAACAGTGGATCTTTATTTGAATATACGTGAAAGTTACTGACGTAATGGCGATGCACGAATCTCAGTCCTAACTTTGATTCCTTTTTTATATAAGATGACCTTTATTAGTCCCACAGGTGGGAAATTTGTTTTGTTACAGCAAAAGTGCAAAGTTATGTAGCAGAAATTAGAAAAACACTGGAATGCAATAAAATAAAATAAAATACTATATACAATACAATAAAATAGAATAGAATAGAATAATATATACAATAGAATAAAATAGAAATACAAATGCTATATACAACTGAGTAAGAAAATACAAAAGTACAACTTCGTCAGAAGAAGAATTGTATAAGAATTGCACATATAGCAGTCTTATTGCACGTGTGAGGGTTTGATCAGCTGCAAAAGTCTTTGTTGTGGAGTCTGACAGCAGTGGGGAGGAAAGACCTGCGAAATCTCTCCGTCCCACACCGTGGGTGCTGCAGTCTCCCACTGAAGGAGCTGCTCAGTTTTTATATATATTATTGGGGTGACCTCTTTGGTGTATCTCCTTTATGTATAGCGTGTACTATAAACCCGCTGTGTGTTTGTCTCAGGAGAAGATGTGTGAAGGTGCTGTACTAATGCTGCTGGGGAACAAGCTGGACTTGGCTGACAATCAGCGTAGAGAAGTGAGAACAGAAGAGGGTCAAAAACTGGCAGAGGTGAGGCGCATTAGACTATTCACCCAAATTTCTAAAATTGGAAAGCCACAAATGTATAAAAAGAAAAGTCTATTTTTTTGGTTATACAGCAACATCAAGCTTTGTTTTATGAGTGCAGTGCCAGGAATGGATTGAACGTGGAGGAACTAATGAATCACCTGGCAGGGTATGGCATCACATATTTGTGATTTACAGAATCACATTATGAAAATCCTCTGGAGCATTTATATAATATTACAGATAATCCTTCTGTACTTTTCTGTTGTAGCTTTGCCCATTTGTGACTTTTAAACATCCTATCAAAGGCTAATAATAAATGAGAAGAGGGAGGTGCTGAGTGTAAATGTTGTCTTTTGTTTTGTTTTGTTTGTTTTATGCACGCAAGTCTTCAGAGGGAGGCTTTGGTAACATTTTTAAAATTGCCATGGTAGTTGTTTTATCTGACGAATCGACAAAGGGATCAAAGTAGCAAGCAATTCAGCATACATATATTCTATCTCAGATTCCATAATAGATTCCACTACTGTTAATCTATTAATTACCTAATAAACTGGTAGCTGGATGAACTTCCTCTGATATTACAGTAAGATCGCAGATTTTTCTTCTCATATGTTGCGGTTTCTGTACATTTTAGGATGTTGGTAACTCAGCATGAACGCCAGTGTGAAGATGCACTTCTACTGACTGAAACCATGCCTAAAAGAAGTTGCTGTGCATGAACAGTTGAGGACAGGCTTTTGAAAAGACTGAAACTGCCTCCAGGTGTTCTTCTTTGACATCACATCAGGCATTTTTCTGTGAACAAGTTTACTGAATAGAATAATGTTTTCCTTTGGGTTTATGCATCTTTCAGAAATGTCTAATAAAATCTATTTTTGATGACTGCTCTTTTGTCATGTGTCTTGAAAAAAATCAGTTAAACCTTTTAAGCTGCATGCTTTAAAGCAAGTAGAGCTCGTATGCATGGGAAACCAGCTGGGGGCAGACAAGTACAGCTTGCAGAGGGGCGAGCAGCCTGTTGTGCCAAAAGAGGACAGACGCTCAGACCCTTGAGTGGGAGGCTCGAGTGTGACTGTCAGCTGAGAACTTACACTGTTGCGCTCAACCTTCAAAGACAGTTGGACGCTGAGGTCGGCGGACTCTGAGAAGACGTTACCCTGATAATCTACATCCTTTGGGAGGTCCACCATCTAAACCAGGTAGGAGTATTTTGGTCTGTGTGAAAACAGAGCAGTTTTTCCATGACATAATGAGTTAAAAATAACTCTGAATATGACCACGGTGATATTGTTTTCAGTCGTACTTACACATTAAGATTGTCTTAAAAGTATATTTTAATCAGGTTTATACGTGTTATCTTTTTAACTGTTCTTTATTTATGTTTGTAAACAAAGATGTTCATTTGTGTTTAAAATATAAAAAACAGAAAAGAAAAACATTTCCCATGATGCTCAGGATCATGACTTCTCTCAAAATAGAAGCACCAGGAAAGTTCTGTTTAGGCAAGAATAACAACATTTGACTTGAGCCTGAAGTAAAGAGTGAAAAGCTAACACAAAATCACTGAAGAATGAGACGATCAGATTATGTTACTGAAACGGGGGACGGATGTGTGTCTGCTGGATGATATGTGACACAGGACGTTAAGTATGTTTTCCCCACAACATATTTGATTTCCTCTCTGAGCTCTTTTCCATTGCACTCTTATAGCACCTCGAGCTACTGCGCAAAGACTAAGGTACAATCTCAACAATAGCTGTCACAAAAAGCCCAATTGTTCTGCAACCCACGGCAAAGGCAGAACTAAAGGGAACTGAAAGAGGAAACTGATATACAAATAAACTGCATATATAACTACATCACATATGACACTAATACAGCTTTCCATTATAAAGGAGAGGAACAGAAATCTGTGTAAATCTTGCGGGGGGGGGGGGTATAGCCTGCAGTTTTGCTCTCAGTATCTTGTAGTAATCCCTTTAGGGGGAGACTGAGATGTGCCATCGAATATTTGGTTGTTTCTTTATTGTGTCAGCTTGAACGCTGCTAACATTAATAATTCCCCTTTTTTAACAGAATGGAAGTTCGACGTGAAAAAAAGCACGCCTGCGGGACGATTTGTCTGAAGTATCTTCTTTTTCTTTTCAATGTTCTTTTCTGGGTAGGTTAATATAAAAGTGCAAAGATTTTCACTGAATTTTAGATTACAAAAGCAACTTTTGAACGATGTCATATTAATTCAGTCAGTTGTAATTGATTTAAAGTTGCAACATTAAATTTGTGCAGTGCTTAAAATGCCATAGACATTAAGATGACTTCCTTCGTACACAGACACATTAAAAAAACAAAAAAAACCAAACAAACAAACATACAAACTTTTTTATTTACTTATTTTTACTTTATTAACTGCAATTTCCTTTAGGCTTTAAGAATAGACTGATGTTCTAGTCTCTCAGGGCTTACACTGAACGAATGAGGCGTTGTCCAGTGTGATCACATTTTAAGAGCAAAGTTATAACTTATGTGCTGCATTCTCACTACGAGCATCTGGTTTGAGTTGAGCTGGTAACGGTATGTTCTGTCAGCTGGCAGGTGGGGCTGTGTTGGCGGTGGGCGTGTGGACTCTGGTGGAAAAGAGCGACTACATCAGTTTGCTGAGCTCCAGCTTCTATGCAACTTCGGCGTACATCCTGATAGCTGCTGGAGTCATCGTGATAGTGACCGGGATAATCGGCTGCTGTGCCACGCTGAACGAGATGAAGAGTCTTTTGGTTGTGGTACGGTGACCACGCCCACAAAATACTACCTGTTACAGAAAAACTGATTTTTCTTGGCCGTTTCACTTCACTCCACAGAAGCTGAAATCCTTTTTTCATTAGTTCACATGAGAAACCATGGCACTTTTAAGTCCATGTTTATACACTCTCACCCCCTGGTCCAGGTTGTGTATTGAAAGCTAATCCTTGGTGACCTTCTGTCTCGTCTGCCTGCACTCAGTGCAGCTCATTATGCCAGGCATGCCTGTCAGATATAACAGATAAAGTCATGCACAGTGTGTCTTTAAGAGTTTAGATATAGAGTGTGGCTCATGCCAGAGGAATGAAGGGCATCACAAGCTGCTGCTTGGACTTAAGAGTGTGTGTGAGTGAGACAGACAGACAGACAGACAGACAGAGGGTCTGTGAGGATATCACTCAGACTCAGTGGTATATCTCTATGGTCATACTCCCCGCAATCTTTATAATGAGCACCTTCCTTTCCCACCATTTAATCACTTATTTTCTGGAGTATGATGTTTGTATTTTGTAGCCATGCACAGATATGTTCAGTGACATTATAACCTGCAAAATGGTGCAAAATAATGGCATTTCACTGTATTCATAGTCATTTTTGTTATGTCTCTGCCTACAGTATCTGATCTTGTTGCTCTGTATTTTCCTTCTGGAAATCATTGCTGGTGTTCTGGCATACATTAACTACCAAGAGGTGAGGTGCCATATTTTCTATTTGTATCTGTTTGTATATAGAGACAAAAGTAAATAGTGACATACAGTTTATTTTGCTATAACTTGCACAGCTTCCAGTACTTTTTATGGTTATATCTATTCATCATTTAAATTTCACCCCAGAAATTACAAATGTCTTTTTTTTGTCTTTCTGCTTGCATTATGTGTATTTTACTAATTCTACTTTCCTTTCAAGTATTTCTCCTAGCTTTGCATCATTTTAATGTCAAATCTAACAACCACTCAGTTGCTGCACTCCTTTGTGAAGTGTGTTTTACATGCTTTTCTGTGCATGTTCATTTGTCCATTTTTCCCCCATCCTTCTCACGCCTCTCTTTCTTCCCCCTTTTTTCTTGCTCTAGTGTTTCCCTTTCTGCTACCAGGTAATCTACTGCAGTGTGTTTCTCCTTTATATCAGTCTGTTTTAGTTCTGACAGGTTGAGGTTATTTTTATTTGCAAGAGTCTTCATTAGAATCAGGGAGTGAGGTCATAGAATCTGTGCTCATATATTTTGAGTTATCTGTGGGTATTGCTCAGGTAGACAGGAATGTTACGGGGGAAGGAGGAAACTTGATCAGGAGCTATTTTTGTTGATGGGAGGTACTAAAGAGCTTCTCCTGTCTCACAGCTGGATGAAGAGCTCAAACAGAACCTGAAAGTGACCATGCAGCAGAAATACCAGCAGCCAGGAGAGGAGAGCATCACACAGGCTGTGGACAAACTACATCAGGAGGTGTGGAAAAGGAGAATTTGTTTCAGAAAAAGGCTCGAATAAAAAATGAGTAACATCAGTAAGACTGGACATGATTAATAATGAAATTCCGTGTTAACTGCAATTTTCTCATTATTTTCCCTCTCAGTTTAAGTGTTGTGGTAGCCACAACTTCTCAGACTGGAGCGACAGTGTGTGGATCCAGGCAGCAGAGAACGAGCGTCTTGTTCCCGATAGCTGCTGTAAAACTCCAGGTGAACTCTGCGGCCGCAGGGACCATCCCTCCAACATCTACAGAGTGGAGGTAAAAACGAGAAAGCTCTCCATCGACGCAGCGTGGCTAAATTTCACATGATAACAAGATATTATTATTTATTCTTTTTTTCCTCCCCTGTTCTTGTGCTCTCAGGGAGGCTGCATCATGAAGTTAGAGGAATTCCTCTTGAGTCAGTTATATATTCTCGGTGCAGTTGGTATAGGGATTGCATTTCTACAGGTGAAAGCTTTTACTGCTGAGCAAAACGGAGATAAATATGAACATCTATTTTAATGGAGTCTGGAAATAATGAGGTCTTTGTGTCTGTTTTGTTTCAGCTTCTGGGGATGATGTTTACATGCTGCCTTTACCGGAATTTGAAAGAAGATCCATACTAATTTTGTACTTCCCCCCTCCCCATCCATCTATTCATTTTCTTCCAATTCATGACCGTGGGGATGGGTGCTGGAGCTTATCCTAGCAGTCATATGGCGAGAGGGAGGGTACACCATTGGACAGGTCACCAATCTGTCACAGGGCTAATACATGAGGACAGACAACCATTCACACCAACAGAATTTAGAATCACCAATTAACCCAACCTTGTGCACACTGTCGGTGGAAGTTGGAGTACCTGCAGAGAACATGCAAACTCCACACAGAAAGGCCCCAGGTTGGATTTGTACCCAGAATCTTCTTGCTATGATAATGCTAACCACCACACCACTGTGACACCCTTGTAGGGATCACTGTAGTTTTTTTAAACATCACAAAATTTAACACAACTTCTAAAATGTTTTCCAAATTATTATAACCCCACCACCCCAAAAAAGTATTTTTTCCCACAGTCCTACGATGCTGCATAGTTACTTCAAACACTGCGATGCTGCTGGACAGCACTGCTCATTTGTTCTCGCAAAAACAGCTTTGCATGTGTTTATGTATTCTTTAATTTAGGTCACAAAGGATTTTTAACTCTTTAAAATGAGTGGTGTATATTTAAAAAGCAGAGCAATATGAGCATGTTGTGGCCGCTTCTCTGTTTGTCTTTTTAATTGCTTTTTTATGTATAGTCATTACAAATGTGTATTTAAAAAACTAATATAAAGAACTATTTTTCTTTGTTGGATGCAAATAAAAGATACTTCCTTATAATTTTCACCCAAATTCTCAGATAATTTCTCCGACTGAACTTTTATTTTGAAACTTATAAGCGGATGTTGTTGTCAGCTGACTGTACACCCTCCTCGCGTATTTCTTTTGCATCGTCTCACCCTCAAGGTTTTTCTTTATAATTTAAAGCAAATATTATTAAAATGTCAGCGAAACCAACGTGTTTGATAGTGGCGAGTGCTTCTTCTCAAGGTGAGCCCGTTAGCTTTACTTTGAACAGCTCGGCTGTTCTCAATCATTCATGAATTTGTCCGTTAGCTTTGACTTACTTAGCGCTGCAGAACTAGCATGAGCTCTCTAAAGCGTTTTATCTCACACATTTTGTTTATTCAGGGGTGTCTGCGAAATCTTTCCATCAGTCCTTCAGCCTTTGTAGTCCGGTCTTTAACCTACAGACAGCCACACCAGGGGTAAGACTCCACCTGACAAGCAAATAGCAGATACACGAACAGCTGTCGTGACCTAAGCGCGTTAGTCCGTACTTACGTAGACACAGTCTCCATGACAACTGCGCAGATTAAAAAAAGAAAAAAAAAAATCAAAGGAGAAATTTAAATAAATAAATAAACACGTCTTTTCTTTTTCTTTTTTTTTTTTACTTTTTCTTTTCGTTTGTTTGTTTTTAAATATGGTGGTAAAGAAAAAAATTCCACGATATTTTCTTTGGGGGGGGGGGGTTACCTTATTTTGGGGAAATTCAGCAATCTCTTTATCACTAAACTATTGTGGTGATTCCTTGTATGCGGTTTTTATGTCCTGGTGAGTACTGAAATTAAAGTTCATTCAAATAACTTTGAAATAGGTGCATGTAGAATAGATAGTTACCAAAAGGACCACAGAGTGGTGCTTCTAGTCAGTGGAGTGTTGCTAAAATTAGAAAGTGATGTATCTTGTAGGATTTAAAAAAAAAAAAAAAAAAAAAAAAAGACCAGCGGTATAATCAAGGGTGATGAATGAAAGAAGAAAAAGAAACTCCAGGACAAACAAGTACCTCGTTTCACTGTGACACCCATTGTCCCTGTGCAACAGTAGCATCACATTTATACAATGTGATGCTGTTGCATCACATTGTATAAAAAAAAAAATGTTACTAAAAAAAAAAAGTGTTTTTTCCTGAAATCCAAGTTTGTTATAAAATTGCAGCTACATTGCCAATCGCAAAATCCATTTTTTTTCTCCTACTGGTAGCTCATCCTGGTAGGGCAGGTAAAATGATCAGAACCCTGAGTTTAAAATATTTATCAACCACCAGTTTCAAGAATTTCAATATTATCGCAACAAAGATACATTATTAGATCCATGTTTGTAGAGATGGACTTACACACCCGAAAAAAAAGTTGTCTTTTATACCCTGCTTTCACCCTACTACTACATCTGAAAGGTCACGGACATGCGCTTTAAGATGCAACCCAGTTCTTGGAAATAGTTCTTGTCCACTTTGTGATCATTACCCTGGGTGTGTGATGTTACCCTGTACAGAAGTGTTTCTGTGGTTGCAGGGGAAGCCAATATACTTTGTTGGGGTTGATGAAAGCACAGCTAGATGGGTGCAGGACTTCAGTGTGAAACCCTACGCAACACCAGCCAAACTTGAATCCATAGATGGTGAGAATATTTATTTCATGCCCATTCGGCCGTTTTCATGTCTGCTGCTTTAACTACCGGTACTATCTGCTCACTTGTGTCACGATGACCCCTTTTAAGGTGCCCGATACCAGGCACTGCTCATCCCACACTGCCCTGGAGCGCTGAATGACCTGGCACACAGCGGCTCTCTGCACCGCATTCTCGCGCACTTCATCTCTCAACAAAGTGAGCTTGGGGCTTGTTTTAACATCTGTATGTATTTTTCTTGTTGTTTTTTTAGGAACACATGTACATGTGGTTTGCTTGTTTTTTTTCCCCTCTGTGCAGAGCCGGTGTGTGCAGTGGGACAGGGAGTGTCTGCACTGTGTTGTGCCACTGAGGGACAGAGGTGGATTTTCAGTGGCTACAGCTTAACAGGGGTTAGTGTTTGGTGAACTCACTAGGGGAAATATAACCCATATATTTGTTCAGCTATCACATGTTTGCTGTATTTAGTAACACCAACTTGTTGATCTTAAAAGCCTTCAGTGTTTGAACTGGTGCGGGAACCTGATTTTGCCAACCTGCCCTTGATTGTAGAAGACTTCGTGAAAGACAGCGGTGGATCGTACACAGGTGAGCTTACCCTGCTAATAACAGAAGAGTCAAATACCAAATAATTATTTCTAAAACAGTCTGATGTTCGTCTCTGTGGGGTTTTTTTTTTTTTTTTGCAGCAAGTCAAGAAGATGCCATGCATGTGGTCGTAGACAGGCACCTCATAACTGGACAGAACATGCAGTCAACCTTGCTCGCTGTAAATAATCTAATCCTGCTCTGTAATGCCAAATAAAAACCTGAAATAATACACGAGGAATGCTCCGATTCGACAGCTTTGTCGTCCCACTTTTATATTCATGTAATTAAACATTTATTTTGAACAAGTATCAGAAAAATGCTGGGTCAGAAAGATGTTTGGCAAAACTGCAACATACCACTTGGTTATTTGTTGATGCTGTTATTATAAACCGAGTAAAAGCAACAGGATTGTGTCGATTCAAACATAATAAAAAATAAAGCATCAGGAGCAGATGTATTGTTGCTGATGGATGAATCTTTTTAAGAGCACAGATGATTTTAGGCGTTGGACTGAAGCGATGCTGCAGATGTCTGAAGGCCTCCAAATATAAATAAACCCTTAATTAAAATGGATACATACTGATAATCATGCAGCTTCTTTTGTTGAATGCAGAGATGTACTAATCTGTACTTTTTTCTTTCTTTTTTAAATCGTATCATCACAGAAAAGAAATAAAATACACTGAAGTACCTTTTTTTGTTGGTTGCAGATGCCTAAAAATAAACCGCCGTGTCATTCAAGAGCTCGATACATTCACGACCCTCAAACAAGTTGAGCGTTAATTAAACCCCGTCAGTGGCTCACTGCAGATGTCGAGATAGGAAAAAAAACAAAACAGCACTGACTTCAATGACAAAAAATATAGATATATTGTGTCAATCCGAGATTCACAGTGTTTGCCAACAAGTCCAACTCTTATAGCAGATCATAGAAATAATCCAGTCCTTGTCCCAATTCCCACAAGGAAATTCCTGTTCCCAGTTCAGCAGCTAAAGAAATCCTCAGGTCGATTGACTGTAAAACAGTTGAAATAATATTAATCACTCATTGATGATTAATACTCCTACTATTCTTTTAATTGCAGAAGTGAACAGTTTTACCTTCAGTGAAGGGTAGTACACCACATGCTTAACTGCATTGTTCCTAAAATAAAAGGCAAAGGACAGGATATTTAATCAAGAAAAGCTCTTGGGACATTTAAATAACCTCAAAATATTGTTTAAACCCTGATGTTTTATTAAATTAATACCTCTTGTAAGTGAAGTAATGCTCTGCAGAGTATTCATCCCAGAGAACCTTTGGCCTGTGTTCTCGCAAGATCTCGATGTACCTGCAGGAAACCACAGACGAGTGCGGTAAGAGGCTTCAAGTCCATGTCAAAGTTCTCAATCGACTCTTTACTCCAATTTATCGCCATTTTTTACTATAAATAAAAAGCTCATGCTACTTGCAGTCAGAAAATTACGTTTAGTACTGTGAAAAAGTCCTGAGCCACCCTGTAATTCTTTTTATTTTGCTAAAAGAAAGGGAACCAATTTTTTTTTTTTTTTTTTTTTTTTAATCCATGCAAACATACGTGGAATTACCAGAGTTTCTACAATTCTAATGAGCTTGAAAGTCAACACAGTCTGAATGCTATGCAGTAAATGTTTAAGGATGCTGCACACCTTGTCGAGGTATGCTATGTTTACTCTTTGAGAATCACCTTTTTATTGCAAAAATATGATTTTGTGTCTGAAACTCCAAAACTGGTTCTTTGCCAAGTCATCTACTATGTGCAGACACAACACTAGTGCGTCCTTCGAGTTAGGTACCTTTTTTATGCTGAGTGATTTATAGATCAGGGTTAAGTGGTTTAACAAAAAAACTGTAATGGAAATGGTCAGGACTGGACTGAAAATGTGTGAAAAAGCAGGAAAAGACTTTTTCAGATCAGCCCAAATATCAAAGAGAAATTAAAAATGCATGCCGTGGAAGAGTTCGGGTCTTAGGAGGTTAAAGTATTGCAGCAATAGCTAGAGTTTCAGCTCACCTTGTTCCCAGGACTGGCTCTGTTCCCTGGCTTGCAAAATCAAGGCCGTACAGATTGAGTCCAAGCAGAATCTTCTCCCTCCACTGAGAGTTTGGTGCAAGCTGGAGGACACAGTCTCTGACCCAGGGCAGCGGAGAGCTAGGGCCCGGCCTATAACAACAACAGCACACAACTCAGAAAACTGGATTAACGCCAGTTTGAATCCTCTTGTTGCATCACCTGTGCCATGTACTCACCTAGCACCACTGGAATAGTCATATGTCATGAGACTGAATCCATCGACGACTGGAGCCAACTGCTCAAACTCCTCCCTGCCAAACATACCCGGCTGCCCTGTGCTGATAATTCACAGGAAAAACAAATCTAAACCAATCACACTGATTGTTTTTGTTGTTGTTGTTTGTTTGTTTTTTTTTTAGCATTTATAGCTGCTGAATGCAAAATAAATGAATTCACCTTGTTACTGCTGGTGGAATAACAAGAATGCAGTCTAATCTTTTAGCTTTCAAAGTCTCGCATATGTGTTTCACCAAATGGACCAGTTCCCTGTGTGGGTAGATCAGAAATGCTTGATTATTGATTAACCTCAGACAAAGCAAAACTTGTGATCGGGGCTTGCAACAGAATCACTCACTTTCTTTTGTTACCTCCCAGCTGACTCCACAACTCCAAGGTGAAGCCATCGAAACCTTCAGTCTGCAAAACCACGGTTTTTACGTTAATCAGTCACCGAATAAACCAAAAACAAGGTTTTATTGGAATTAAAGACACAAACACTACTTGTTTACTTTTGCAACATCCACCAGCTCAGTTCCCAACTCGTCAATTTCATCCTCACTTCCAAATACTGCCATGTAGTCCTGGTAGGACCAGCCATCAAATAAGAGCCGAGGCACTGATGGTTAAAAAAAGAAAATGAACTAATCTGAATCCACACAATCAGACTTGAGTACCTGTGGGCAGTAAAGTTGGCATTCACTCACCAATCCTGACTTTTTTGTTAGACTTGCGTACAGCTTTGACCCAGCCTGAAAAGATCAAAAGATGCTCTTTTACCTCATGTTCATCCGTGACTTAAGGTGAGGCTTTAATCAGTGATAAAGTTAAGGGAAAAAGTGGATCATCTGCCTGGATCGTGATCGTGGAGTCCCGTAACGTCAAAGGTTTCAGGTCCTCGTCTGCGCAGCTGAAGCCACACCGGTGACACCGAAGTTAGCTTGGACCCAAACATCTTGGCAACGTCATAGCCGTGGGAATTCCACTGCAGGATGAGAAAAATAAGTTGTGTCTTTGACTGTGCTAAAACGTACATATGAAACCCTAAAGGGCAGGTTTTTAATTTTCTTACATGACCATAAGCATATTAAATTAAAGTGTTACCAGTGTCATAGATGAGGGGGGATTGGATAGATTTTTTGGTGACAGCTAATAAAGATTAAGAAATTAGAATGTGATTATCAAACCAGTTAATGATTCATTATCTATCAACTGATAAATCTACTCACTGGAGTCCACATGGCTATGGTCTGTCCCATCACTTACACACTATTGTCAAACGTTTAAATTCAGCAGGAGAACAAGGAGATATAATTGTGACTGGATTTCAGACTTACGGGTGTCACATATCCAAGCACTGGTCCTTGAAACGTTTTCTTGATGTGTGCACAGTATCTCTTTTCCTCCTTCGCTATGTCTTTCCAGTGCGGGTCTGACACAACAAGGTTTCTCTGCAGTACAGATAATTCTGCTGGAGATGTCTAAACAAGTGAGATCAAAGAGAAAAGAGCCCGTTTCAGTAAGAGATAACCACGACAGGACGGAGACAGGAGACCAAGGACATTTTAGGCAAACGCATTCAGACCTGTTTGACCTGACAGCACAGAACAGCTCGAACCAGTTTAAAGATTAAGACCTGAAGTTACTCACCTCAGCTTCAGCTTTGTGCGACTTCTTTGCATCGGTTTTTGAAAGTGTGGCACTGACCAGCCAGCAGCATGAGACGATATGAAGGAAGACCAACGAGGCTCTCATTTCCAAAAAGCCAATTTAAAAAACACAGAGCAGTTAAATATAAGATTGGCTAGCTGAGCTCTGCAGATTTGCAGTGCAAGTGTTTCCTTCCTTTACTGGGATGTGTGAGATTAGAAACCACCATATCCTCCCGCGGCCTAAAATCAAGCAGAGCAGTAACCCAAAGCGGCCCGGCTCGTCCTGCTAAAACATACTACCCGAAATAACCATAAACAGACTGAAAGCTTTTGATGTCAGGCGGTTGGTGTCTGTTTGAGTGACAACTTATCTCAATGTGCTTCTGAAGCGTCAGCCTCGCCAGGAAACTTCCGGGGTTTGCATTTTTCAAAATAAAAGGTGCGTGTTTGTGACATCCGAGCCTATAGGTGGCAGTGTGCCGAGTTTGTCAACCAGTAAAACACAAACAAGGAAGAGAACAGGAACCAAACAAATCCACCTGAGTAATGATAGAGAGGGTGTTACATTTCCAAGTTATTTTACATGATTAACTAACGTTAAATTTGGCTTTTCCGTCTTTAGGTTTCAGGCGCTAACAGGTGAGTGCAGTTCTCGCTTGCTAACTGCTCGTAAAGTAAAATGACCGTGGCTGTGATGTTAGCATTTAGCTTTAACATGTTTGTGCGTTGAAACGATTTACCTATACCCTGCTTCTTTTTTAAGGGTTACTTTCATCTATAATAACTAAGTGTGGGTCCTAGTGCTTTTTATTTTACAGCTTTTTTTAAAATTTTTTTACAGTTTTTCCTTTGTTGTTTTTGTCGTTTTCCCCAAATTAAAAATAAAATAAATACAGTAGTGGGTGTACAGGCTAGTAGATTCAGTTTCGGACGAATTATTTAGGAGGAGAAGTACAGAAAAAGTACAAAAATATTTAAATATGGTTAAGACCAATTTAACCGGTGTCGTAATAATAATAATAATAATAATACATTTTATTTGAAAGCGCCTTTCAGAACACTCAAGGACACTGTACACAGCAGAACACTAAAAGCAAGCAGTTTACACAATCATAAAAGCACTAGACATAAAACAAATTTAAAATAGCAGAGTGGAGAGGTTATGTGGGATAAGCTATTTTGAACAAGTGAGTTTTGAGTTGGGACTTAAAGAGAGAGAAGGAAGTGATATTTCTTAAATCTGGAGGTAGGGAATTCCAGAGTCGAGG